GTTCGTTCTGTTTCAGCCTTGCAAACGAGGTGGAGATGCCAAAGTCCACCGTTCAAGTTCGACGTGGCACTGGGATGTCGCAGCCTCCTCCAGCTGTGCGTTGCTTGGAGAGATGCCGGAAAGAGCAGAGGTCACCACACCTTCGCCGTGCGTGCCTTGCTCCTGCCGTCGCCAGAGAGCCCGAGCCCGGAAGCTGGCGCACTTTGGGTTTCGGCCATGTCCTCCTTGGTGAGGTCCTCAGATGTGATCAGGGATTAGATCACTGTCCAACGCCCAAAGTGAAACACGGGGGCTCAGGTCACCGTGGACTTGCGGTACTACTCAAACCGTCCACCGCGAGCACTGCCTATCCAAAGCGGAGCACATGCTGAAGCCCTTGCTTCTCCGGGACCGCCTGTCGTATCGGAGAAGACGGAGACTGAGACACCTTCCCCTTGCCCTGGCCCCGGCTTCTGCTCGGCAGCGCCTGTGCCAACCTCTGTCACTGTCTAATTCCTGGAGGTCGCGGTCGCGTCGCCTCCAGCATTGGGGATTTCCTACAATCGCTGCAGGCCAGTGTCTGAAAGCCTGGTACCATACAGATGCCCAAGAGGCAGCATGCTTGCGGCCATGTGACGTCATGTGCAGGCGAGTGGAGGAGGCCAGACGCGGCCGGCAGTCACCGGAGTTACGACTTTCAGAATCCGAAGGGCCGCAAGATGCCATAAGATACTTTCACTGCACAACGAGCACGATTACGCCGTTCCCATACGTCCGGCAGATCATCCGGTCTGCCAAGCTGGTTCTCCCTTGCCAACTGTGACAACGGGGACATGACGTGACATGACTGTTTGCATGCCTAAGTGCATCTTTGGAAGGATGCATGTGTTCGTGTCGTGCTACCATGAGCTACCTGGACTCTCGACACTTCGGGTGTTTACAACCCTTCTCGGATTTTTCGTGTCAAAAGCGCCTGCGAAACATTGTGCAAGCCGCTCTTTACGGACATGCATATGTGTGGATATGTGTACAATGCATATATTTTCCCAACCGTTCATGTATCTGCGCAGTCCGATCCACCACACCACATCACCAGAGCTTGCCTCGACACATCTCGCATGGTGGATGATCTGATCCCGGATTCATCACGGAAGACTTCTCTGCCAAACAGTGCTGCACAGACGCGCCGTAGGTGAGACGCTCGAGACATGCACAACCGATGGCCAGGATCCCCACCGCGACGGCCCTCCTTTCGCACTGACATCTCCGTGCAGCCCGTGCTTCCAGGACAGACAGGCCCGACGATAAAAGACGTGCATTGACATGCATCATCCATCTAGCTCCCTTGCTTGCGACACTCTTACCACGAGCTTGAACATCGTGGCAGGCAGCCCTTCCAACATTGCTGCACCCACTGCGCCGATTGCCGCTGTCCCGAGCAAGGCACGCACTGCAAAATACACTGCCTGCAGCCAATAGCGCCCTGCCATCTTGCAGGAAGCTGCCGTGGGCGCTCCTGCGAGTGCTTGTGAGGCAGATTGGCACGAGATCGGATTGCATTCTGCTGACGTTCAGTCTGTACTGTTCAGTTGAAGGCCTCGCCCGAGTCGCACCCCGCGGCATCCGAGATTCCGGCAGACAAGGCCGTAAAGAGGAAGCAGACGAAATGGCAGCAGTGATGTGTTAATTTGTTCAGCATTTCGTGATTCGGAGGCAGCTGATTCTGGCGAACCACGCGAGAAAGAAGCCGAGCTGAGTCTTCCCTTTGATGAGGCCGGGGGAGGGGACAGGCTTGCCGGGCCGACAATCGCAGCAGAGAGTTGCCAGGATGCCGTGTCGCCGCAGTCACTTCCATCCCGAGCCAGCGGAGAATCCTGGGCAAGCGAAGCCTCACTTTCCGCGCCACGGTCGCACTTCGATCCTCGATACGTGCTTCAGTCGGGCGGGTTAAAGCTGAAGATGCACTGGAAGTGGACATGTTGGACAGCTGAGCCTGACGAAACAGAACTCCGCTAGGGTATCCCTGTCAGTCGGATGCTTTCAACCTGCCCGCAGCCTTGTATGGTGTTTGCTGCATGCAACCTTCGGAAGGACTTCGACTATGCGGACCTCTCCCGTTTAGCGCAAGCTTTGCGATTCCCTTTGCCCCAGCAACTTGTCGTTGGAAAGTCGACATGTAAAGTTTTGGACTTGAGATCTGGTGGCAGGTGCGGATGATAATCGCTGGGTGCAAATATCTCAGAGCTGAATGTGCCGGAATAAGTGCCAAGGTCCAGCACAGCTGGCCAGACTCTTCAGCCGACAGCTGGGCAGTGCTCCGTACCCCGTGCCACTTCCCTGACATGTTGGGCACGAGCATGCGGCATACCTGGTCAATGAACCGCCACATTCACTCACAAGCTGTGCACCTGCTGAGGCGAATTCCAACAGCGAGCAAGCGGAAAGCATGGAGGAGATACTGAACAGCGTCCGAGAAGAAAGCTTTGACGACATGTCGAAGCAGACGGCTCAAGGCAACCAGTACTGTAGCCAGTGGAGAGCACATGCAGTACCATAATACTGTCAAGTTTGTCTTTCGCGCGCGGTCCCTCTAATCCTACATGTCCGCATCACCTTCAAAACCCGTGAATCTCATATTCTCGCTCAGTGCGGCAGCTCGCTTGCTAGCTCTGTGTATCTGGTCAACATGTACGACTTCCGGAGGTGTGTATCACAAAGTTTTGTCCTCAATACAGAATATGAAATAAGGAGTCATGATGGAAAGGCACGAGCAGAGAACAAATTCCGGTGGTCCGTCACTGAAGTTAGTCTCCGCACAAGAATCTGCCATCACCTTTAGGCTTGGAGGCTAGATTGCTCTGTTCAGGTGGTGGGAAACTGGCATAAATTGAATCCAGCGCGAAAGATCCTGATTCTTCGACTCCGGAAGAAAACAACGCCTGCTGCAGTGTAGAACTGGCTCCACTAGCCTCCGCTTCCTTTGCAACGTGCGCGGGGAACGGAAGCTTTCAGTGACAAATTGGGTTTTCCCCATCACCGTCACCAAACGAAGTCGATCCTGTGCACTAGCTGGGTCCAACAACGGCTTTTTGGAGGACCGCCATTTCTCGGTGTTCGTAATCTGTCTGCTGGAGTTTTCTGCTGGGGCTCCTATCAGGCGATCCGAAGACGTCCAGCAGCTTCAAGGTCCCGCGTGCAGCTCGATCCCAGTTCAAGATTCAAGACGGTAAGGGTAGAGATGCGGGAGGCGACTGGAGCAGAGCGCATGTCTTTTGAGGCAGTATCCATCTTCGATCAAGACACCCTGGACAGCATGGCAGAAGTGCTTAGCAACGTGCAGAATGTCGACCGCAGCCAGCCAGTCGCAGACCCCGGCTCCCAGGCGGCTAAGTGTACCTCAGGACATGCTCTGAGCAACTCGAGACTGCTTCGCAATGCCGCCGTGAGACTGAGGCTTGCAACCAAGTCGAAGTGGGGAGCTGCTGGACGGAGAGGAGGCTGCTGTGAATTGCCCTGCTTTCCCTTCGCGATCTAGCCTTGGACGGTCCCTTCAGCCTAGCTTCGACATGTCAGCCGTGAAGTCCTGCATCCAGCACCCTTTGTGCAGAAACAAGTGCCGAAACGTTTTTTTAACAGTTCGTGCTACTCTGTGCGAAACACCCGGACACAAGGCGACACAGGGGCCTAGGATTTGACCTTCCCGTAGATCGCTCCGAAAAAGATACGGCATGATCAGTAGACTGCTGACCGTCACCATAAGCACTGTCGGCCGTCACGATGAAAGTTGAAATGCGAGCACATATAAGTATAGAAGATATTGCAGTTATTGTAATTGTGCCAAGAGGTCCTGGCTGCAGCACAGCGTGCTTTTCAGAAGCTCCAAGAGAAGCCATGCAGTGCCTGTGGCGGCACGGGACCGACTGGGGTTCTCATGAAAGGAATGTTTCTCGCTCTTTGTGTTCATGGAATTCGCTGGCTCAGGAAGCATCAGCATAAGCTACTGTAGCGGCTGCGAAGCCATGCGAGGATATGTTGGCCTCTTCGGAGTTTCAGGTCTGAATCCCAGTGGTGCTTTTCGTATCGGACAGCAAGGGGGGGTCATGTTGTGTCTGCTGCTGTGCCAGCCTGGGACACTCATGTAACTCATGTACTTGAGGCTTTGGCATTTTCCAGTCGAAATGCACGAGCTGCGAGACGTCGGCTAAGCCCACCAGCAGCTGAAAAAGCGGTACGTGCCAGGGTAGCTCATGGATCTTCCCCACAAAAGCACTTGCAAGAAACCCTTGCACAACCTCGATGGCAGTGTCGCGGATTTCCCAGTTGCCGCAATATTCCTACCATGCTATGCTATTCTGTCTCATCAGAGTCACCCGCTAGACGAAATCATCGGTCCAGGGTACTAACAGCAATTTCGTCGGGAGTGTCCATGCCTGTCTCGGCAAAAGGGTCCTGTGCCCGTAGTATATCAATATGACGGCAATATGGAAATGTCAACTGGCTCTCCGTACAAACCTACAACATGTAGCCGAGGGATTGTTCCCGAAAGCACCTCGATGCTGTTGCGGTCTACTCTTCCATAGAGATGATGGTTGACAAGATGTTCACTTTCTGCATCTCTTTGCCTTGCCTTGTGGTGCATTTGCTGTCAGAGAGTCATTCCTCCGAAGGTCATGCTGCAGCAAAAGATGCAGTAAGATGACTGCGAATGTCGAAGTTTTGCCGTGCCCTCTAAGCCATAGTCTACTTGTACATGCATGCCTGTGTTTGTCTGTATAGAGACGCGTGGACGGGTTAGTAGAAAATACATCTGGAAATGGCCTCGGAACTCGATAAAACCTCTTTCTCTCTCATAATGTGAATTAAGTTAGCGTAAAGACACGTATAGATGCGAGTGCAGTCACATGTGCTGTCCCAGCATGTCCCAGCGTGTAGTGCGCACCTTGAGATGCACGACGTGGCTTGATTGCTCCCCGAGATGGCAGGGCTTCTGCCTTTGACATGGGTCCTTCCTGATCTGATAGGCACTGCAGGGCTTCTCCCTGGACTGCATCCAAGCATCTTCGCAAGCTGCCGAGGCCTTTTTGAGCTCTTTGAATTGCCCTTGCAAAGTTGGTTATAATAATAATAATACTTATAATACTAATAATCATAATAATAATCATAATAATAATAATGCTTTGTAGTTTTGGAGCACTTGGAGCCGAGTGCATCTGGCAGAGGCCTTCAGGGAGGGTGGCGACATGGCTGGCCTGGCCTCGGCCCTTCGAACGTCCGGCAGCCCAAGCTTGCGCCCTTAAAGTAAGCGAAAGTGGCCATGAAGCCTAGCAGTGACGAGCCAGGTGCATGAAACGATGGTACAGATGTCAGCCGGCGACATTAGGAGCCGTGCTTTGAGCTAAGGCTCGCGGCCGCGCATTTGCAAAAGAAGCTTCGGCCCAAGAAGCGCTTGGTTCCGCGGGGGTATGGGAAGAAGGCTGGTTGCAAAGCGCATGTTCCTGGAGGTCTCCGTCACAAGGAGCTATGGCGTGAACCCAAGACCCATCATGTCGGAGAGTGACACACTTGCGTTCAGAGTTGTTGCTCAAGTATGCGCCATAGGCTGCGAAAGAGTTGTGCTCTCAGCCTCACAGCTCGTGATTCAAGAACGACAGCGTTGCATGAATGACTGCAATTTACCCCGGGTTCTCAAACCCGAAGGTCCGCATCTTTGTACAAAGACCTGGGCGACCAAACCGGCGAGGCAAAGGGCAGCACCGAATGCCACACTGTGCTGCAACAGATGCCAGACTTCCAGACTTGGCACAACATGCTTGGACATGCCGCATGATTTCTGAATGATGTTCTTAATTTGTGCATATCACGCGTTCAGCTCCTCCCCTGTGGTATGTTGCCCTGCGTTCTGGGCTGTGACATAGTGATCTATGTTACATTGTAGTAGCTGAGAGGGTACTCTGACATTCTACGGTTGCATACTTTCGACGATATTGCACTGAAATCGTTGTTGCAACAGCTATGGCCCACGAAGGGTGCAGAAACCCGTGCGTGTGAGCGGCGCTGTGGTTTTGATATCTTCAAGCTTGTATCAGGGGTCCGGAACAGTCCTCCCCTCCGTCTTCACGCGATTGGACGCTGTAGCTTTATTAATTATAATTGTCATTATTATGATTATTGTTTGCCAGGCCGACTCCTTGTTGCAGCTCACCGTCGCCCAGCTTGAGGTGGGATCGTAGAACACGTTCATTGAATACAGCATGGCCTACTTCACCACAAAATAAACGACTGGGACGTAATGAAATGGAATGAACGTGCTACTACGTACCATTCGCAAACATCTGTCCCCAGACCCCAGACGTCCCCCTGAGCAAAGGCAGAGCGTCCGGAAGATGCCATGCCGACTGCAAGAGCCGCGTGGGCTGCCTCAGCATTCACTTCTCAGCATCGGCTCGCAGCAGTCGGAGCTTTGAGCCGAGAACAGAAAGCTTCATTTCTGCCTCTTTGCAGTTCCGGCTTCCGGTTTCCAGTCCGTCATAGCTTTGCAAGTCACCTCTTACTGAAACCTCAAGGGACCTCGAGTCCCTTCGTGCGCGAGTCCGAGGCACGACCTTTGCAAGAAGGTCTCGGACATTCGGCGCTGCGCACTCGCGCGTCAATCTTAGCAGCCACGAGGGAGTTTCCGAAAATAAGGGGTACCTTATTTTGGGGTCCTAATAGGGATCCTATTATTTAGGGTACTATATTAGGGTCCCCTATTTTTGGAAACCCCCACTAAGCGCTGCTTAGACTCGCAAATCCTACCTCCGCTCCTGCAGGCAAGAGTTGGTCCAGCTTGTCCGGTGGCCTAGTCACCACTGCTAGTTCATGTTGGAACTTCACTTGAGCAGGCTCAAACCTTTGACAAGCAGTTCAAGAGTGGCTTGTGGGCGCTTGCCTAAGACGAAAAGCTGCAGAATGATTGGCAGCTTCCAACATGCGGACTGCGAAGCGCTGTTTGCCAGGCTCCTACTGGAAAAGGTCTCACTGCGAAGATTGCAAGTGGCATGGGAGGCGGTTTGTTCTGCCTGCCTAGGCTTCATGCTCATACATGGCAACTCTTCATCTTGATTGAATCCTGTAGGTGAGGAGGTGCGACTGCATAGATGGATCCCTCCGCTTTGCGCTTACGTGCCGTGCAGTGCGTGTGGTCTTGCACGGGCTTTCTGATCGAGATGCAATCGCATAGTGTTAGAGAATGTCAGAGAATGTCAGAGATCAAGTTGGTGGGCTGTCTCAGGTGTACAAATGACAGCTAGAGCCAGGAACACTCCTTGTTGCAGCCTTTGCATCAAAGGCCTAACAGTTCGGAGTACATGGCCAAGGAGGTAGGCCTCGCATAAGTCGCCGCAGTGGCTTTCCAGACGCAAGCTGCAAGCGGACTGAAGGAGCAAGGGCAACAAAAGGCTATGCAGGACCGAAAGTTTGGCAGGAGCCTCGGCATCATCCCCAAATCGATGCTTGTATAGACGTCACGAAGGTGCCAAGTTGCCCTTCCAGAGAAAGTCCGAGCCTTCGAAACCTTCTTTGTCATTGTGGGTGGAAATAGAAATTGGCTATGTTTCGCGTCACAGGCCATTTCCGTGGGTTACGCCGAAGGCATCAACACCTCAGAGAGTTCTGCGTCCGAAGCAGCTTGTCCTGTAGCAGGAGAAGGAGAAGCCTGCCGACCCGGAACCTGAGCCGATCGCGGCTTCACAGGACCTTTGCCACGATCCAAAACGGCACCACGAGCTTCGCCGCACTCCGATGCCAGACCGATGAAGCCAAAGTCGCCGGCTCCGGCTTTGACTGGAGTTCAACCATCTCGCAGCCGGCGCCTGTAGGAGGCCAGAAGGAGACACCCCTTTACGAGCAATGCTAAGGCAGAAGAGATGTTTTTACTCATGTTGACTTTGTGATAGGTTTGGAAGGATACTGGCGCTGCGAGCGATGTGGCGTGTTATTCGAAGATCCTTCCGAGGGCGTGTCGAACTTAGCATCCTCCGCTTCAACCACCAGGTGTTTGACGTTTGAGGTGTCAGGATCGTGCTAGTATAGTCCTTGCAGAGCAGACGAAGCTCACCGAGTTGTACCCAGCATGAGGGACCCTGCTGCATGTTAGTAGGCACGAGCAGATGCAGATGGGAACTTTGAGTGGTTCTGCCGCAGCTGTGGACGCCTTGGTCGTTTTTACTCCTTCCACACCTTCGAAGCGGTGAGGGCGGGGGGTCAGCCAAGTCGAGGTTGGCGGGACTGGTCGCAGCCTCGAGCAGCTCTTGCGAAGATCGAGAGACGAACCGCTGATTGACCAGGGTGGATGAACACCTTCGGCGCGCCCGGGCTGCCAAAGAAGCAGGCCAGCAGAGTCCTGTTGACTGAATCAGGCCACGACGGTACCATTCTGCACATCCCAGGTGTCAGCACCTCGCAGCATGGTGGCAAAGGCCTTTCCCTCTCACATGCAACAGAGAAGAACAGGCCGAATCCGTGTCACGCAGGCGGCGGGCGCGCCCTCAGGGCAAAGCCGACAGAACAACGCCAGCTGATATCTGAGAACAGCTTCCTCGGGTGAGTTGAGCCGTACCTGCTTCAGCACCTTAGGACCGAGACGAAGCCTGCGCGGCCCTTGCCAAGCCTGGGCCTGGAAGTTTCATCTACAGACAATGATGTCTGCTAGTGACTACCAGCCTTGATGCCATGGCAGTCGGAAGCCTCGGCTTTCGAAACCAGCCAAGCGGCATCAAGCGGCCAGACGCCCCTGTGGTCTGAAACCCTCTGGGACCTGCAAGGAACAAGTCGCCTCACGGAGCTGTCGATCGCGCAGCAAACTTTGCCATGTTGAGAGCCGTAAGACCAATCCGATATGTAGACCGAATCCGACTGATTTTGTGCTTAAGTCTTTTAAAGTAACCGAAGCGCAGCCTGCAATCGATTTTGCCACCTTCGGAGGAGAGGGCGGGGAATGGATCATCTGCACAGGACGTGATGATTTGAATCGAATAGATTGCGAATGGAATTATTGCACGTAGCAGCTGCGAAGACGAACACAGCCAAAAACGACGGCACAGTTCGTAATTCTTAGTCGAGAGCATTGTACCGAATCCCCATTCTTCCCTTGAACCCGAAACTCTAAAACCAGAGGCTTAACGCCTGTTCTAACCTTTTAATGTCAATGTCAAGGCCGGCAAGAGCTGCAGCAGCTGTCCCTCATCGAGCGGCTTGGATATCGGCAAGCCCGGTCTTCCTGACCAAGTAAGGATCCTTCTGTTCAAAGGTTGAATATAAGTCCAATGAATTCTGAAACTTTCAGTGCAAACACCACCGAGTTTAGCTACCGGGTTCTGCCATTCAGGGTCCTGAACTGGTACCTTTTTTAGATTGTGTGGTGTGCGGGTTGCTGATGTCGATATTTGAGAGGCCCCGAGCAAAGCGGCCTTGCTTTCGTACGAACAGCGATTGGCTGGCGGATGGTGTCCACCGCACGCATGAACTTGTTCGTCTCGGGCCGTAGGTGGGGTTGGATGTGTGGCATGTGTGGATACTGTCGTCCTAGCTTGAAGAGTCACAGGCGGCCCGGGCGTTGCGCTCGGTTTGTCAAGGTCGATCGAGTCTCTGGTCGGTAGTGTTGCTTTTTTCGACCATGCTGATGTCGTGTCAAGACAAAGTACCTTGTTTGGATGTCCTCATGTCAATTCTGCTTGGTTTCCTTTTCAGTTCCCAACAAAAGACAAGACTCCTCAAGTAGAGCTTGGTTGTTGGTTTCCCCCTGTTAAGTGTTTCGAGACTCCAATCTAGCCCAGGCTCTACAAGCACGCGAGATCCAGCGGTCACAATCTCGGTCTCGGCAATTCAAAGCACGGGAAAAGAGAGGGCTTAGGATTAGGATGCTGGGTTTAGGATTTAGGAATCGCGGTGCAGGCTATAGTCATAGCTCCAACCTGCAAGAACTTTGCAGGAAGCTTGCGGCATCCGAGGTGCAGATTTCAAGCTTCTCAGCATTGCTATGGACAGCTTAGAGCTCAGAATCAGCAATTGTCACAGAGAGTAAAAGAGTCACAAAAAAAACGTCAGCAAGGTCAATGCAAAGAAGTCCTGAAGACGTTTGTGCTTGCATGTTCGCTTGGTGCCTGGAAGGCGACAATCCGAAGACGGGGCTGCTGGAGCTGCTAGCACCGACGTGATTCTTGTTGAGAAAGGGCGCCGGGTTTAACCTCGATTCTCCTCCGGTTTCGGCCCTAGAACTCTATGTCATGCGGCTGCTGCAGATCTGGGTCCCATACTGGCACCTTTCCCAAACGGCACGTCGTCACGGCAACCAAAGCCTAGCCCAGCTTGGTTTAGGGCTGTGGGCCTTCGGGTTGGAGCCCATGACGTGGTCGTGAAGTGAAGATCGTTTGTCGTTCCGAAACTGTATTTTTGTCGAACTTGCCAAACCGGCTTCTGATGTTGTCTAGTCTGTGTCAACCTATACCTGCTACTCGCTCCGGCCTCGAAGGTCCGACTGCAATCTCATTATTCAGCTTGTCAGGTAATTTTCGGGATACTCTTCTCGCCATCTCAGTCCTGAGGTTTTCTGGAGTGTAATTAGTAGGTTGTTGGTCTGTTGCGTCCATCCTTCCCTTTGAGCTGCGTGTCTTCTCCCCTTTGGCTGCAGTGCTGTGCTTTTGTCTTAGCCATCTGGCCATCTGTTTTTCTCGTCGCTGCTTGCCTTCTGGCTGTGTGCGAGAAGCTGCAGGGCGGAGAAATTTGATTGGTTGCCTCTTCTTCCACGCCTAAAGAGCCAATTTGAAAGCAAGGCATTCGGGCAGTTACCGTTGCCATTGTATTCTCAAGGCTGCAGGCATAGACACAGCAAAGTTCTTGTAGCAGTAAGACATGAAAGACCTTCCCCATTCCCAAGAACTGCGTCAAACATGGTGCTTGCAACCACGCCTACAATCGTCACATATCGTCACCATAAACAATGACAAAGACCGACATTGTCTTCTCTCAGATTCTCTGTTGCCAGAGGGGAGCAGTTGCTGCATCCGCCCCTTGTAAATGGCGCTTGAGCCGCCCGTCGGCCATACCTGGTCGCAGCCATCACAACCGTCCAGTATCGAGAACAGCGACAGCCCTGGGCGCTTCTTGGTCGTCTGTAACGCTTGGGGGAGCAGGAATCCGTGCACTGGAGTCGTCGTGAAAAATCGACGAAATCGCGGTTCGGGTCTCTCTCTCACCTTTGGAAATCCGAAGCAGACCTGAGGCTTAGCCAGACTGTACAGCAATCTGGATCCAGAGCCCCCAGGCTGCACCATTCAGCAACTACGCATGATTTGGAAGAGCCACAGAGTGTCGGAACTTGGAACCTTTGATGTGCTTACCCCGAGGCTGGTTCGAGCCGTTCCACTGAACGCTTGCTTGGCGTGCTGGGGACGCCATTTCCGGAACGAATATGAGGGCATGTTCCTCTGTTGCACATTCGAGAGGAGCGGTGTGTGGGTCGTAACACCTTCGGTGACCACTTTAAACATGCGGAGGGCGGGCTTGGGCCACGAGCCACGGAGCCCCTTATTTTCACCGGAAGAGGACACTGGAGGGCTCAGGGCTAGGGCCTGGGTTCAAGTGAAAAACGCCATGCGGCTTAAGCTTTTTTCCTTTCCCAACCCACCCAGCCCAGCCCGGACCCATGGGCTGGGGTCGGGAAGGAAAAGGGCCTAACTGCGGCAGTTAGGGTGCTTTTCTCTTGAACCGCTCCGCAGCTGGAGTCCTCTTCCAGTGAAAATAAATGCGCGGTGCGGGGCTTTCAGTCGAGAGCAGCTGTTCCACTAGGCTAGATGCTCCGTGTCGTATCGGCATCAGTTCATTTCTCTTGTTGTATCACTGCCTTGGATCAGCTTGAAACGTAAATGCGGCAGTTAGTGCGTTTTCCATGCCGCCCTTATTCTCCACAAAATCATTAAACTCTTAATCCCGTTGCAA